GTACAGTTGCAGAGTCCACTGGTGGTTTGTTAGTGAAACACATGTCAAAAAAAACACAGAAATGATCCGAAAGAGCAACATCGACCACGTTTACATTTGAAATATTCACCCCCTTAGTAACTAACAGGTCTAGAGTGTGCCCTCTGCTGTGGGTGGGGCCACTTACGTGCTGAGTGAGATCAAAGGATTCAAGAACAGAACTCAGCTCATTTGCATTTCTGTCATCAACATTATCCACATGAATATTAAAATCACCTGTAATAACTAAACTATCAAAATCTGTGCATACAACTGAAAGCAACTCTGTAAAATTATCAATAAAACTGTGACATGACTGCGGTGGCTTGTATAGGACAACGAAAAGTATTGGAGGAGATTGTTTTTGTTGTATTTTAAAAGACACATATTCAAATGACGAAAACTTCCCAAGAGACATTCTATGGGAGACAAAGTGGTCTCTGAAAATGGCAGCTAAGCCTCCTCCTTTTTTGTTTTCCCGTATTTCAGATTCAAACTTGAAATTTGGTGGCTTCTATTAAAACTGCATTTTCTGTATTTTGGTCAAGCCAAGTTTCAGCCATGAACATAAGATCAAGATTATAAGAACAAATAAAATTATTGATTAAAAACAGTACTACTACTACTACTACTGCTACTGCTACTACTGCTACTACTACTGCTACTACTGCTACTACTGCTACTACTACTGCTACTGCTACTACTCCTGCTACTGCTGCTACTGCTGCTACTACTGCTACTACTGCTACTACTGCTACTGCTGCTACTGCTACTACTGCTACTACTGCTACTACTGCTACTGCTACTACTGCTACTACTGCTACTACTGCTACTGCTACTACTACTGCAACTACTACTACTACTACTGCTGACGCCTGCAGACCACTGTGACATTTTCCTGACCTTTGCAGGATCAGAAGAGACTGGACTTAAGTCCAGCTACAGACCACTGTCACTGGTCTACCTCCACAACAGACCAGAGAGACCAGGTCTGGACTTCAATCCAGCACACAACTATCTAGTGGACCCTCTCCTCTCCCTCTGGACCCTCTCCTCTCCCTTTGATCCTCTCCTCTCCCTTTGACCCTCTCCTCTCCCTCTGGATCCTCTCCTCTCCCTCTGGATCCTCTCCTCTCCATCTGACCCTCTCCCTCTGACCCTCTCTGGTCTCTCTCTCTGGTCTCTCTCTGGTCTCTCTCTCTGGTCTCTCTCTGGTCTCTCTCTGGTCTCTCTCTCTGGTCTCTCTCTGGTCTCTCTCTGGTCTCTCTCTCTGGTCTCTCTCTGGTCTCTCTCTGGTCTCTCTCTCTGGTCTCTCTCTGGTCTCTCTCTGGTCTCTCTCTGGTCTCTCTCTGGTCTCTCTCTGGTCTCTCTCTCTCGGTCTCTCTCTGGTCTCTCTCTG